TTTCGTGCCGAGATTTGTATCAGTGCTCCCACGAAAAGCTGGATAAGCTTCAGGATGTGGCTTCGAAAATTGCTTTCGGTGCGCGATTAACCGGAGCAGGGTAAGTTGCTTTCCGGATGCAATTACGAGGGTTCTAACAAAAGTTCTCGGAGTCGACCACAAGCCATCACAGGAGGTGGATGAACATTTTTTTATTGAATTCCTCATCCTTTTTTGACCTAGTACCAATTTTTTTTTTCATCCCTGGACAAAAAATGGAAAGTGGAAAAAAAATTGAATGAGTTTTTTCTGGTGCTGTGCCCACCCATTCTAACAGAAGTTCTTGGAATGAAAATGAAAAAAACTTTTGGGTCTAAAAAATTTTCTGATTGACAAAAGACACTTTCCCTTGAAGCCCTTCTTTCACAGTTGGAAAGAACCAAAAATCTCAGGGAGCAAGATCAGGGGAGTAAGAAGGAAGAGTAAAAAGCTGAATGCCCGAATTTGAAATCAAATCAAGAGTTTTCAAAGCAGTGTGTGCAGGAGCATGCATGTGTGCAACTGCTCTTTGGTCATGGGTGGGCACTTCATCGGATACAACTCATTCAAGTTTTTATTTTGCGTTTCCATTTTCGTCTGGATATGAAAAAAAACGATTCTAGGCCAGAAAAGGATGAGGAATCCTATAAAAAAATCGACGTCCATCTCTGGTGATGGTTTGTGGTTGATTCCGCAAACTTCTGTTAGAATGGGTGGGCACATCACCGGAAAAATCTCATTCAATTTTTTTTCCCAGGTTCCATTTTTGTCTAGGGATGACAAAAAAATTGGTTCCAGGTTAAAAAAGGATGAGGAATCCAATAAAAAAATGTTCATCCACCTCCGGTGATGGCTTGTGGTTGACTCCGAGAACTTTTGTTAGAACCCTCGTATGTTGTAGAGAGTGCACATGTCATGGATTAATTAAAACGAAATTGTTTTCCAAGTTCGTGTCCGATACCCTTATTGTTGATTAAGTTACAATGTAACGAATTTTTCGTTGCAGCGAACCAATTTTAACTGGCCTCAATGGCTTCCTTGTGACGAGATTTTAGTGTAATTGAATTCTGGCTTTTGTCTTGAAGGAGTTGGCGCCTGTCTTCTGTTGAAATAACCAATTACAATAGTGTACATTTTTTTAATTGCTGATGCACGGATTTTTCAGTAATTCACTTCTGCGCAATTACACTGAATAAAATCATGAAATTATCTTTAACTGGTTTGAATTAGATTGTACAGATCTTCGAATACTTGTCACTGACAAAATACAGTAATTCAAATTTTGCCTTTTTTTTTGAAATTTCTGCTACTGCTCTGCTCGGAAAATTAATATGCAATACTGCACAGTACTTCCGAAATAATTGAAGTACAGAAATATTTTGTAGAGATAGATTCAGTTGTGATTGATATTAATTGAAGATCGAATTTAATGTGCGAAGTATCATTCCGCCAAGGCTTGTTGTACTGCGTACAATACATATTAATTATACAGTACATGATATGGGCGAATTCTAGCCTCTGTTATGGATTTGTTGTCTGTTTTTGTTTGAGAAATGATTGGTTTTTTTGATTAGCTGTGGTTTTACCTGTATTTGTTTATTTTCTTGTTCGATTTTGGTTCACCCGATTAAAAACCTATTTGAATAAGTAAATTATTTTGTTTAAAGTAATTTTTTTGCCCTTTGCTTTGCGTGAAGGTCGTTTCGCAGTTCAGTTTTTCCTTCGCGATTTACCCTGGTAAACCTGAAGTACTGTACATGTACTGTAATTAAAACTCGGCCATATGTGCTGTAATCCGATGTACAGTATTCACGTGTAACAAACTCTCGAATCTGATTACGATGGACTTGTCACGAGTTTCCTCTGTTCCCGTGAACGCATGTGATCCTTCAAGGAATCTCAAAACTTTAGTTGATTCAAGAGAAACGCTGACGTGTCAAAGAGCAGAAGATAACCTCGGAATTCACGCCTGCGCGTTTGTTCAAATCGTGTTATCTCGATGGATTCTCACAGTCTTACTCCGTTTTGTATTGCAGTCGTAGAATCACTGGCTACATATGTTCATGTGGGGAAACTTTTTCTGTGTATCCGACGATGTGTTTTCTCGCGTTTGTTTATGTGGTGTATGTATTTATTTTATTCGTAGGAGCCGATCGAGGGACCGTAGTCGCTCTCGGGATCGTCACTCATCTAAACGATCTCGACGGATGAGGTAAGATCTGTTTTCACCTTATTTCTCTCGGGGGTACGAAAAAGAGAATGAAATCATTTAATTGTTTGAATGAAGAGAAGACGGCTGGCATTTTCTGATTAAAAAAATATTTTTTGGAGGACGTTGTATCTTCGGTTCTTTCTATCCAAAAATGAGAAATTCGAAGAATGCCATTTTCGAGGTATCCCAGTGAGCATTTTGTTGTCCAATCTTCGAGTTAGATTCGCAAGAGAGCAATTAATTAAGGGAACAACAACTTCAGGAAAAGCGTCATGAAATTTATTTTAATGGGGGAAAAAAGGCTCAATAAAACTTGACAAAGCATCGAACTTCTGGGTAGCGCATGCTAGCGCTCGCATTTCTGAAATCTTAAATTTTATGGAAAACTCTTGCCTAATTTTATTCAAAATTTTCCAGCCTCCCATAGGTTATAGAAAATACCTGATGCTTTTCCATTATACGTCGAAGTGAATGATTGCACTGAAATTTTTGTATACTACATAAAATTTCTTGAAGGTTGACGCCCTGGAATTAAAAAAAAACCCTAACCAAAACAGTTCAGAATTCCCCGAAAAAACTTGCCCTGAGCTGATCGTGAACTGTACTGAAGAGTATTTGAAAAAAGGCAAAAATGCTGAGATAAAATAATCGAAGTGTCGGTTAATTAGAGACGACTTAGGAGTGAATCTCCGCACACATTATAGGAAAGTTACATAGAATCAAAGCTGAATACAAAAATATAAATTTTTCATTCACTGAATCATTTGTAGAAACTCGTATTCCCATGTGACTGAATGATATCTTCGTTTCAGGTCTGTCGACAAGGAAGACGGCGAGGTGAATAGCGATAACTCTGACTAGACAGATTCATGAGAATAAGACTTGATTGTGAAGTTGTCTGATTCGTATCCACTTTTTGCGTTATGAACGGGATTCCGGGTGAATGACGACTTGCTGGAAAGTTGGTTCCGTTTCGAGTTTCCGTTGTCGATGTTGTGGTAATATTCTTTCTTCCATTCTTTCGTTTTGTTCTGCTTGCTGTAAAAGAAGCTCGATATCAGCGTTCGGTTACAGTTGTTGGGTTTTCATTTATTATTATTTTTCCAGTTTCATCGTAATGTCAAAACGTTGTTTCCTCCGCAGAGTTGGCGGCATTGTGTGTTGAATTACAGGCTGCTGGCTTCCGCTATGCTTTTATTTTTTCTATTCATGATCCGAAGGTTTATTACACTTCTGTCGCGGTTCGTGTGAGATTTTTTTTATCCCGAATTTCGTGACTATTTCGACAGATACGATTTGTGCTTTCACGTCGATCGCGTTTAGCGCGTCGATCGGCAATAGTGTTTTTCAAACTTGTTTTTCAAGCTGTGATGCGAACAAATAGTTCAGTGCCGAAAGGCGAGCAATCATTCCATGATTTTGTGCCGCTTGTGGAATCATGAAAGTTACCGACTTTTTGCGAATCATCGCAATTGCGACTGTTCTATCGATCCAAGCGTCCGAAGGTGAGAATCGTATCACGAAATTTGAATCACGAAGTGCTGTGTAACTTCTTTGCGTTCCGGGTGAGTTGTTGTGCGCATCCCGAAGAAGTGCACGTCTACGAAAAAGAAGAAAAAAAAAAGAACAACAGTGCAGTTGAAAAGCAGTGTGAGGATGAAGTGGCGCCAGAAATTGATTGATCGTTGATTAAAATGTTTTGCGAATTGCCCCTTTTCTTAATCTTAATATACTTCATCCATCTTTGAGAAACTCCCGTTGAGAAAAGCGACTGAATTGACGAAATTTCAGGCTAGTTTGGCCCTGAAAAACTGTTTGCACTTGTTTAGAATGCGCTCAGGTGTCCCAACTTCTGACGTATCTGAATAATCGAACGCTTTTGTTTTTGAATAGTTATATTTTGCCAAATTTCCAAATTGTTCGAGGCAACGCAAGCGTCAGAAGATGCTTATGTAGTTATTCTTGGTCGATTGTCGGATGTTTTCAGGTTTTTAAATATTTATATTTGCAATTATCAGGACTCATTCGGAAATGCTTCTCGTGTCGGTCACGCGGAGACCGAGGTGATTGCAAGGATCCGTTTCGTGTGAATCAAACATTGGTAATTGAGGATCAAGAGTACCAACGTCAAGTTGGGATTAAAGCCATTCCTTGTGCTTCCGGTTGGTGTGGGAAAATCCTCGAAGGAGGAGGTGACAAAGACGGTGAGTTATCGTGTCGAAGTACTGTATTCGAAAATAGGAATACTCGCGAGCGTTGGTTACAGTCAAACCTCTTCAATTAAAACTTCAAGAGAGCAGCAAGAAATTCGAGTTGGAGAGAGGATCATTTTTGTTGTGAGAAAGGAAGAATTATTAAAGGATATTGAATTGGTGATATTCTGGGCTTTGAATTGTTTCTTGAAAGAGTTGACAGGATGCTCAAGTTGAAGGCAAGGGTTCATTTGCCCGATCAGTCATTCACTTCCTTTCAAAACGCATCAAGTTACTTATATTATATCCATTAAACATTTTGCTTGGCTGCCGCAGACCTCCGAGCTTTGATGTATTTTTACGAGGACTATCGCCTTTCGTGCAGTGTTTAACTGAATCCAAAAGAGGATTATCCAAAGGGATCGAACACCGGTAACAGCAAGAGTCCATTGTACGAATTATTGTTCGAAAAATTTTATTTTCTGAGACATTCATTATCCGGGGTATAAAAAAAAATGTTTCAGATTTTGATCAGGCGACCCAACGGATCTGCCTGCAGCGGCCTCCGTCGGACGCCGAGGAACGTTGCTCCGAAACGTTGGTGGGTCCTTACCGACGGGTGTTCATGTGCTTCTGCCGTGGGGACTTGTGTAATTCGTCTGCGACACTCTCACCGATCCTCCTTGCCTTGTTGATCCCCGTTTTGTTGGGTGTCTTTGCCTGATGAGTGAGCCAGCTGTTGACATTCCGCGTTCGGAGAGCTTCCTGGAGTTTTCTGCAATGAATCTGCTCCTTTTTTATGTAACTGTTGATCTGAGGAAGTGGAACATCTATTTTTGAATACATCGATATATTCTGGAACAAGTTGAAGTAGCAGTGTGAGATTCGCTTTATTTAATTGTGCGTGTGTGTTTAGAACGAATGGGGATATCATTCACTCGGGTTTTTCCTTTGTTCAGGTTGGTATCCGACATAATCCCTGTGTTCCTCGGTGCGATTAAGATGGAAAAGATTAAGTGTGGACCCGTTGTCGATGTATTGGGCGATGAGATGACCAGGTGAGTTGATCATTTAGTTTCCAGGATAAATCCATTTTTGAATGCCATATTTACTTGGGAACCACGCGCCCTCAAGTGAGACAGTCACTAAAATTTTAATTGAATTGGATCCCTGAGTGAGGCGCTCGCCCTATTTTAGTGACTCTAAAACTGCAATATTAAAAAAATAAGAATACCCAAATTTGAATTCAGGCGTGCATTGAACCTGAATTCAGCCAATTTGCAATTGCTTTCGTAAATTTTTTTTAATTGAGCCAAAATTTCTCTTTGGAATCAAGTATAATGTACACCTAAACTTGTGAAAGTTTTTGAAGAATTTATACTCACCCATGACGCGCTACCCCTTTATTTTTCTCTAAATTGAGAAAGGTGCGTATAGTACTTGAGTACGAGGGTTGCTTCATAAAAGATGATAAACTGCTACTTGCCGTCATCAGAGGCGAATGCTATTTTAATTTTTGCTCTTCAACTCTTCATTGTTGTCTAATACATTTTTCCTTGACTACTCAGCTGCAGAAGGAAAAGGCCTGGATCACAATGAATTTCCTTCACTGAAGTAAACTTCACTTCAGTGGAGGGGATTCACTGTCATCCAGGTCTTTTTCTCGCTCCCTTCTGCAGCTGAATAGTGGATGAGAAATTTATCAGACACCAATGAAGAATTGCAGAGCAAAAGAGAAAATTGAATCCCCCTCCAATGACGGCAAGTAGCAGTTCATCATCTTTTACGAACCAACCTTCTTAGATACGGTAATTGAATCGGCTACGAAGCCTTGATAAAGGTATTGTAGTTTTTCAAATACGTACGATTCAAATTTTGAACTGGTGAAGGGACTTATGAATTCGAAGATTGATGAACTTGATGAAAATTTTTCCGTTCAGGATTATCTGGACGTCCATCAAGGATAAGCTGATCTTGCCCTACATCGATTGCGAATTGCATGTGTTCGATCTGGGAATCGAAAATCGTGACGCGACCAGTGATCAAGTGACGATTGAATGTGCCAAAGCCATTCAGAAATACCACGTCGGGATCAAATGTGCGACCATCACCCCGGATGAAAAGCGCGTGGAAGGTGACCCAGATTTTTCCGAGCTTTCTTCGAAATATTCAGTAGAACCTCAAGAGACCAGCAAAATAATTTGAGTTGAGGAGGTTCCAAGTTATGGAAATGAGCATTTTTTGTCGGATAAAATAGAGATAAATAATAGGAAATTTGTATTTTTAACGTTAAAGGCCTTGAGTAGCTTCTTGAATAAGTTGACAAGATGCTGAAGTTGGAGGCTAGGGGTTATTTGCCAAATTATTCTTCAGCTTGCTTTCAAAACACATCAAGTTAACTTTTTATCACTTCTCTCTTTCCTCTGTCAGTAAAGTAAATTAGCGTTATGGAGATTTGAGGAGGAAAATCTTCCAAGTTGAGGAAGTTTTAATGCATAGTTTCTCAAGGAATTCTGACAGTGACCTGGAAAAAAATCAATACTGTATATGTATCTGACTTGGTGAGGTTTAAGTTATCGATGTTCAACTTTGGTTATATTTACAGTGGTGTTTTCTATTACTGATAGAATTCAAGCTGAAGGAGATGTGGAAGAGCCCAAATGGTACAATTCGCAACATTCTCGGAGGAACGGTGTTCCGTGAGGCCATCATTTGCAAGAATGTTCCTCGTTTGGTTACTCCGTGGACGAAGCCGATCATCATTGGTCGTCATGCTCACGCTGATCAGGTTCGTCTTTTTTTCTTTGTTTTTTTGTTGGGTATCTCAAGGATTGGAAAAAAAAGGTTCTGAAACGAAAAAAAATTGCAATAAGCCCTCCCAAGCATGCATGTACTGGTGGACTCTGTCTAAAACGATTTTATCTATGCAAGTAATTTTTTTTGGGTCCCAAAGCGTTCTTTTCTCATGTCATATGTGTTGTCTGCCACGAATTTTTCTGTGGTCCCTTGAATTTCGTCGTAGAGTGTTCATCTGTATTCGTTTCATCAATCAGCAGAGGCTCTAATGGCGGATTCTTGAAAAGCAAGGTACATTAACGAAACATCGTTGCGGAGGAAAATAATATGTTGAATAGTCGAATGGGTTGAGCTCGAATTCAATGCTTGTTCTACTGTACAAAAATGTTTTTCAGTGAGGATCCAAACTTCTACGATCCAGAAAGCCTTCATTTAATGCGTAAATGCGAAGAAATATTTCAAAATTACCAGGAGGACCATAACGTGGAAGCTCAGTATCAAATTCTTCGAGATATAAGCTTTTCAATGAATCTTTAATTTGATCCTAGTGTAGAGGTCGGTTCGTTGCTTTATTTTTATTTTTTTTCGGGGAAACTTAGTGGCCTAGAATAGCGCCTTGAATAACTGTTCTCGGACTTCGATGATCTTAAGTTTGGATCCATTGCGAGTTAAAATTTCCCCATTTTCTATTCCGCAGTACAAAGCAACTGATTTTGTTGTGCCTGGACCGGGGAAATTGGAGATTAAGTGGTCGCCTGAAGCCGGCGGCGAAGGAATCGAGCGTGTCATTCATGAATTCACCGATGGCGGTGGAGTCGCTCTTGGTGAGTCGTGAACCGCGAAGAACGAACGAACCTTGATCGCCGCCGTTTATTGAGGCGTCTGTGTTTTGAATCTTTTGCTCCTTGTGAGAGCGAATTGTAGTGGACTACTCGTATTTATGCGCTCATAGGTCGCTTCCGGAATTCGAACGGGAGAAAGCTGAGTTGGTAGCGAAATATCAAGGATAACTTAGGCAAAACGTGGACGAAGCCTGCAGATTTTCACAAAAAGATTTCTATCACAATAGTTTGATAATGCGATAAAGTGCAGATTGGTATGCTTTCTTATAAAGTATTGCTTGAGAAAGGTAGCAGTCCGCTTTCAGTTCTTTTATGGTTGAGCAGGAAATGCCAAGTTTCATGAGCATGGCTAGTGAATCGCTCATGAGCGTTCTCTCGAATTATTTTATTATTAAAACTTTCTGAAGCACTGATTGAGTGGAATAGTTGGTACAGTTTTGATAATGTAACCAATACATGATCTCAGCGTAATATTATTCTTTCAAACATGTGTCAAGTACATCTTTCAAGTACTGTACTGTACATCTGAGCAATACCCCTACTCAGATGTAAGCTGTAACCGCGTTTTCAATCTTTTAAATTTGTGGTTGAATGCGCACAAATTGCACCCACTACCTTGATATTTCAAGGAAGTTCGAAACTAATTCTTTGAAGTGCAAAACGTGCAAAAATCTTTAATTTTCTTCATTTTATAAAAATTTCACCTGTTCTCATTCAATCCTTCAATGTCAATGTGGTTATGCCCATATTGTACGCACTCGAGAGTAACTCGAAAGTGAATGAAACTTGGGATTGATGAAAAATGTAAATGCCACTTTGACTTCAAGAGAAATTTACTCCAATTGAAACCATTAGTGACCGAATTGAGAGAACGCATGTGTCATAATTTTTTTTTTTTTGCCTTGCGCAGTGAGTTTTCAAACCTTTATTTGTTCCGTTAGATTAAGTTCTACATTTCGAAAGTCGTAACTATTCGCGTAAATTTCTACAATTATTTAACTTTTCATTTATTCAGGCATGTTCAATACGGATTCCTCCATCAAGGCATTCGCTCATTCGTCATTCAAGTACGCCCTGGATCGTGGCTACCCGCTTTACATGTCGACCAAGAACACGATCTTGAAACGCTACGACGGACGCTTTAAGGACATCTTCGAGGATATCTACGAAAGGGAGTACAAAGCAGCGTTTGAGGAGAAGGGAGTCTGGTACGAGCACCGCCTCATCGACGACATGGTGGCGTATGCCATGAAGAGCGAAGGCGGCTTTGTCTGGGCCTGCAAGAACTACGACGGGGACGTACAGTCAGACTCGGTGGCCCAGGGTTACGGTGAGAATCGTCCTTGTATAAGAGGGTTAACCCTCTTTTGCTCGTTTTTTGAGTTCAAGATATTTTCAGTATCTTCGTGCGTCATCGCCCTTTTTAAAATTATTATACTTTACCATAGTCTTAGTTTCTTCTTTTACAGCTCTTACGCTCTTAGTCCTAATGTTTTCGGATGGTTGTACTAAAGTATTTTACTTATTAGTGCTCTCGTGAACTGCTTATGCTCTTCCTTTAAAGAAATGTTGCTTAGCCAAAGGCTTTTGAGTTTCATCAGCGTAATTTTTTTTTAATGTTGAGGATTCCCGATGGGACATTCTTCACATTTTTTGAAAGAAGAAACACTGATAATTGAGCTATTGGAAATACAGAGGGGCCCCAACGTAAGGGCGATTCGACTTGGGGATTCTTGAAACTACAACAAATCTGCCCGACATCTGGACAGTGTCTCGAGATATGGACTCTAGACCATTTCTAGGAGAATGCAAAAATCTTGTTTTAAAAAATTTCGATATCTCTTGAACAAATTGCGCTATTTATGTTTAAAAATGAATAAAAAATAAATTTATTTATTTTAGATTTCCTCTTATTTGTAATCAAAAACGAGCTGATTTTGTGCTTATTTTTTTATCGAATTTTTCTCCATCTGAGCACAGTATAGACATACTTGTCTTTGTTCACCGCGTTTTGGGCTCTGTTTCATGCGAAAAAATCAGATTATGAGTGGTTTTGTATTTTTAAGTTGGTAGGCAAATTTTCAAGGACTTTTTAGTTATTCTTGATCAACTGGAGAACAGATGAAATATGTTCCCATTGAAGTCTATGGTAAAACGTGACCCGACATGCGGAAGTTTCAACATAGGGACAAGGTCAAAGGTCAAAAGAGTTGACGTAGGTATGAAATATGGATAAGTCAATAAAATAAGCGTGTACGCGTGAACCATTGCCTGAATTTCATTTCTGGGTCCTATATTTCTGATTGATTTTCAGGAATTCAACTTATGCAGACTTCTTCATTTCTGGTCCTCCCTTTAAATTTTCGGCTGCGTTTGACAGTATTTCTCGACTTTTCTTGGATTTTCATGAAAAGTACTTTTTTCCTGTAGGATCTTTGGGTATGATGACATCCGTCCTTCTTTGTCCTGACGGCCGAACAGTGGAAGCCGAAGCTGCTCATGGAACAGTGACACGTCACTACAGGGTGCATCAAAAGGGTGGTGAAACATCGACGAATCCTATCGGTGGGTAATTTAATTGCTTTCTTGATAGTAACCCCATCATTGTTCACATAGCATAATGTAATGCTTCCCGATCATATTCTTATTATTCACAGCTTCCATTTTCGCCTGGACCCGTGGTTTGCTCCACCGCGCCAAGTTGGATAACAACCCAAAGTTGGAAAGCTTTTGCCACAAACTGGAACAAGTTTGCATAGAGACTATCGAAGCCGGATATATGACCAAAGATTTGGCCATTTGCATCAAAGGAATGGCAGGGTACGTGTCGTTTATTATTATAAGTTATCACTTTTCTTTTTCTTCTCTTCAAAGCCTCATCGTGATTATTTTTACGGTGTCAAATGAGTTTCGCCCGTAGCACAAATCTAGCTGATCCAACCTAGCCTAGTTCAAAATGACGTGAATAAAGTCTGAACGAATCCTGATACAAAAGAGAGCGGCTCCTGCGCGATGTTGAAGGAAAATTTAGCTTTGAATTAATCGAACTAAACGCATTTTATCTCTTGAATACAATGTTACGCTTATAATATTCCGAGTTAGCTTTTATTGAACTATTGATGCATTTGAATCAATTTTTTTTTCAGCGTGAAGCGAGAAGACTACTTGGAGACCTTCGCATTCATGGACAAGTTAGCCGAAGGCTTGAAAAAGAAAATGATGGACTGACTTTATGCCAAAATGTGAACAAAGTTATAGCGTGAAAACGTCGCAGTTTTCTCAGGGCCCGCTTTCCCAAATATTATCATTCCCCCAACATTTCTGTCTGCACAATTCAACATACCAATGAAAGCACGTTTTAATACTCGTCTGAATGAAGCAAACTTTCCATATACACTCGATCAACCTGTGATTTTTGAATGCTTTCTTTAGCCAGTGGGAGAGGAACTACAGGATTATGGATTTTTCGGGTTCAACCGGGGAACATGAAGTGGAATTGGAATAAAAATGTCCATCCAAATTTTCTGTGGTTTAATCATTTGTTCTTGGATTTTTAATGCACGAATGTATGTTGAGAATGTATGTTAAGTACAGAATTTGAATCAGTGGTACGTGATCCAAGATTCTTGAGGTGAAACGCGAATTAATTGCAAGAAGATGTAGCTAAGTACGATGATTTTGATGAAGCAAATAATTTTGAAAATTCAGGAAATCCGCTCATTGTGTGGTTGATTCATCTTCTCAAAAGCACAGGATTGCGTGCATAATTTTTGAAACATGTAATTTATGAACGGAAAATGTTTTGCCTTTCTGTTTTCTTCTGAAATTTCTGCGAAGGCTGTGCATTCAATATTTCATAAGTTTTATGATTGGCGAACGTGTTACTTGAACATATGCCAGGTTAGAACCGTATTTCGGGGAAATTTTTTTTTGTCTCCTACGCTTCTCTGTTCGTGTGCAGGCAGGTGTCACTTCGATGTGATTACTTTCCTCTCTAGACTGAGTTATTTAAGTGAGGAAATTCAGGACTCCTACTCCTCCTTCGCTTCTGAAATAGAAAATCTTATTTTATTTATTTTTTGACAGCCCTGCCGCGGGCTTTCTAGTTTGAAGTTGAAAAAGTGTCAATCCTGTTTGATGAGGAATTCAAAATGCAACGTGGGAACTTTCGGAAAATTAATTGTGACCAAGTAGCATCTGTTGCAAGTTGAAGAAAGAAATCGATAGTATTGTACTTCATTCGCTGTGAGATTTCTCGGAAACGTGAATTCATCTTCAAATCCGTGATGCCTGGGATTAAAAAGTAAAAGGCTATTTCGTCGTATGCGCGGTTTCTCACGTTCGGTTAGAAGTACCTGAAGGTCGAGTGAACTGATGAATGGCGATCGAAGATGAATGATCACTGCCTCCTTTCCTATAAGTATAGATGAGCTAGTCGCAAAAGTACTGCAGTATTTCTTGATTGCCCTGTACGGACATGGATCAGCTCTGTGTTCGAGAATCTATCTCTGCCATCATCACTCTACTAACAGTCTGTAAGTTTGATCCCAACAGACTCGTGGTCAGCACTGGATCCGGAGACTCTTTCACACCGGATGCATTCACCCGACTTCCGGTCATTCTTCAGACCAAGTCCCAGCAATTGAAGCGAAAACCCTCAGCCGTTTTGCACTTGGACTCGTTTGCAAATATCACGGGGAATGATTTTGCTGTCAACTCGTTTGCGCCCTGGTTTTTCGTCTCATGCGACCGCGAAGTTCCTTCGACTTTTTTTGGGAGAGTCGATAACAGTTCAATTGGAAAGGTAAGTTAGTGGAAGGTATGTATAAGGTGAGATGGGGAAATTGTCGCAGATCCAAAATTGACCCATTATTATTATTTTTAATGGGATTGAATATTCCCTGCAAGGCAAAATAAGTTCCCTAAAACATTCTTCGTTGCTGGGAATAAGCATTGAATTTAAACTTTATTATTTTTCAAAATTAAGCGTTTGTGTTTTCAATTTTAATATATGCGGTTTTTACAGTAGCTATGATATATTTAGCTCTCAACTTTATTAATTGGGAGTAAATATTCCTCGCCCAACAATTCACAATTTCAGGCTATCTGCTGAATGCTTTGAAATTTCCAAAAGTTTGAGGCCAAACAATTAAAATTATTTGTGCCCCTTATAATTTTGACTATACTTTAAGAATGCAATATTCAAGTGCAAGACTCACTGAAATTTAGGCATTCTGTGTCCAGAACATTTTTATTGAAAATATTCGTGAGTTTCATAATTTTAAAATAAATATACTGTACACTGTAATGCATACATTTTGTCATTTGGGCATTCCATAATGTGGAACCCAGCATAATATATAGTACAGTGATGAGACACCAACTTTAAAGACACCCCTCACATATAGATGATGATTCAAATTGGGGACACTTAAAATTTTGAAATATCAGACCCAACATCTTGACAAAATCTCAAGATATGGACACTTTTCCAACATTTCTTGGAAAATTTGAAAGTTTTTGTTCTTCAATATTTTGATAAGTCTCTGATGAATAAATGTAGGTTTTTATGTTCATACTAGTCAAGAATGAATTTTATTAAAATGTCACTCAAATTTATAATCGAAGAAGGTTAATTTTGTTAATCCTTTCTTTGAGGATTATTCTCCATCATCTGTGTACAGTACAGCAAGATTTGTACTTTTTCTTCGCTTTTTGCCCTTCTGATGCCAGAATATAGATCAGATTCTGTGTGGTTTTCATCCACACAATTATTCTCTATATTTTAGTTGAGAAACACATATTATTAGATTTTTTGGGGGATTTATTTCTAATTTTTGCTCCCCATTGAAGTTTATGGGAAAACGAGATCCCACCTGCGAACAGTTGGACATATAGGGACAAGGTCCCAACACCAATTACGTCCGCATCTTGGGGTCTCACTTCTGAAATGTGCTGCTTTATTGAAATGCAGAAATTCGCTGTTCATTGTTGAATGTATCATCACATATTCCCATCAATAAGGTCAACGTTGTTCTTCACACACATTTACTTGAAATTCTGAAAAGTTTGAAAGTCGAGCATTTGCTAACCTTATTTTAATTCGCCTTTTATATATTCAAGCCAACACGGGCAACTGCTGAAAAATCATCAGGTCGAGCAGCAGTCAGAGAACTTTGCCGAGAGATGCTAGTGGAATGCTTTTGGTATCGTGGTAAAAACCGCGTTTCTGCAGTAAAGATGTCAAGGGACTCGCATAATGGATGCCCAGTGATGGAAAACTTCAAGAACCTGACGGGCCACACCCTGGTTGGCCTGACCATCAAGGGTACCATCCCGAAATTACCCAATTCCCTCTACGATCTGGACGTGTACTCGATGGACACGGCTTGTGACTACTTGAAATGCAAGGTGGAGATGAAACCCACGCTTCGGGATGGCTTCGGAACTGAGCTGAAGAACAAGACCTGGACTGGAATCATGGGCGACTTGCAAAACGGGCCGGATAATTACGTGGGGGTGATGGTGCCGACTTCTTACCGGACTGTCGTCGTGGACTTCACCACTGGAGCCCTGTATGATGCCCACAACGTCATCATGTCGAGAAAGGCGAGGCGAGTGCCTTGTTACTTGCTGTTGGACTTGTTGCTAGCTGTTGTTGAAGTATTCCGCAAAAAGCTCAAATAATTTGGACGTCCTTATTTGTTTGTCAAAGTTTTCTTTATTGCCAATTCATCATCTGTGTCAGCAGAGTACATACAGGTGTTGTAGAGAGTACACACTCTCTTTAGCCATGTTACAATGATGGGTTTATACCCATGTTATAGGGGTTCTCAGCAACAATATTTTATCTATTTCTGTGAAATCAGTGTGCGTTCTTTTAGCTAGTATCATATTGCATGAAAATTTTATGAACTTGGGGATATGTTTCACTCATCACATCACAAGGGACATTCAAAGCCTGTTCGGCGTTGCATACTCTCAAATACTGTCCATCAAATTGTAGGTTTTCAATATTTCCCACAAGTATCTACCATCAATAATACAGTGAACCCCTACCTATAAATATACAGACCTCTGCTTCTTACAGACTTCTGCTGTTGGTTTAAAATTAATGGTAAAAAGTAAAAATTTTAATTTTCAATGATTAAAATGACATAACAGACTTTTTACGCAACACACTATGTATAGTCCGTTGCACAAATTAAGTCCATTTTGCGGGGGTTGATTACAACAATTTTTTCTGCTTTCTTGCAGTTTGTTGTAGAAAGAGTCTGCCTCTGTACAATACATTTTTCTGAAATTTTGAACTCAAAATTCAGTATATATTAATTTATTCATTTTCATGAACATTGGGTTATACAAACATTTAAAATTTGGTCAAGTTATTTCTGGTGATCCTGGTATAGCGACAACTGCATGAAATTCCTATATTGGGTCAACTTAGGCCAAAGGGATAATGTTAATTATTCATCAAAATTTACGGAAAGGGCTAAACTTCTGTCAGACCAGAAGGAGTTCCTATATACTTCGTGCTTTTTCATTTTGTTGCCTGATGCATAATTCAATATAGCCAGTTTTTGCCCTAAGATTCCAGTTCGATGGTTAACACAATTAATTATATATTTTAGTCAAGTTGGTGTTAATGCTTGCCAGCATTTTCCCACTTGTTGGACCAAAAAGGTTTTCAGATAAGAAAGAGTTTATATAGGCCATGGATAAATTATTTCACATGTGTTTATGTGCTTATTATTTCACCTAGCCCATCATTTGCTGAAAAGCTTAAAAAAAGAATTCAAACGCTCTTGCTAGAAGATTTTGAGCTCGGTACTCAATTTTGGCAAGCCCCAAAAGAAAATTAGTTGTGAAAGTTTTAGTAAGAATCCTAAAACCAGGCTTGCTAGTACGAGTAAATCTAATTCATTTAAGTTAGTGTTTGGGTATTCCATTTTCCCCATTGTTCTACAACAAAGGTTTTTATATAATCACAGGAGTTTATTTAGGCTATTCAGAATCAGTAAATCAGGCGATTTCTTCCATATATACATATATCGCCCAACATTAGCTGAATTCCTTTAAAAAACCAAAAATCAAATTATTTTGCACTTGAAGATAAATTCTTGAGTTTGGAACTCACTTCTGGCAAGCTGAATGGGAAAATGGGTAGTGGCCAGATGCAGTGGCTTTGTTACAGTTTTAAAAGTTCAATAAAAATGGGAATTCTAGTCAAAATTTCAAAAGCATCTGCAGCACCTAATAAGCTGATGTAGATGTTACCTTGCAATTGAACCATCCCACAAATTGATGGTTGACTTCGCAGGGAGATTGACTTCCAATTTGGCATTTGCCCTGCGATTTGACCTGCTTTGGCCACTTTTTTTGTTGTTGCATTTTTGTACTGATATTTTTGAATTTCACAGTGTCCCACAATTTGACTGCTTTGCAATTTAACCCCAGTTTTGCAATGGATTAGGGTTGCATTGTAAGGTAACATCTGCGTTCATTCTTTTGACGAGCTGC